TCTCTTGGTAAAAATTGCTATGAGCAACCGTTCTTAAAATATTTAGAATGGAAATAATCAATAGCTAAGCCATTATTGACAAAAAATAAATCCGTTGATTAGATAGTTTTTTGACTGAAATAATAAATGGTGGGAAATTTTTATTTTTTTAAATTAATCATAAATTTTTCTGCGAAAAAGTGATGATAAAACAGTTTATGTTTAATTTTTGGTACAAAAACGTTTTAAATTTATTATTTTAGTCTAATAACTATTTAGTCAACAAGTTTAATTTATGTAAATGATGACAGGTATTGATAAATTCGATTCCAAATATCTCGAGAACCATTACTCGTAGCAATTTTTACCAAGAGACCTTTTTTACGTAGAAAATGTCGAAATGTATATTTTTTTAGTCTGTAGTTTTATACAGGTACGGACGAAAAGTTATTACTCTTCAAACCAGTTAAAAATATGTAGGTGGCGCCCTCTACTAGTAGAAATCATATCATCGAAATAAAATTTTTCATGTCAGAAAACTTCCAGACACCAATTTTCATCCATATATTGACGTTACTCCAGAAATTATTTAGAAAAAATGGAAATAAAAATAAAACTTCTACACCCTGTATCTTCGAAACTAAGCATTTTAGGACATACCAACCTTTTTACTGATTTTTATCTGCAGAATATCCTGCCGAAGTTTCCGGAATACAGTTCGGACCTCCGCACCCTGTACAATATAGAGCGCCAATATACAGGGTGTCCCAGAAATAGTGCAGGTATTTTAACTAGTAGTATATTTCAGCCTCAGAAACACGCCTATGAGGTTTTTTTTTGCAAAAAAATGTTTTGAAAATTTGGAATCTTTTTTAGTTTTAAGTTAAAAAACATAATTTCTTGGTAATATGGCAACACAGGTAGTTGATTAAATTTACATGAAAGAAAATCCAGAAAAGATCCAGTGGTTCTCAAAATTTAAGCAAAAAAGCATTTTTTGTTTAAATCCAGCTTTTAAAATACTTGCACTTATTTCTGGGACACTCTTTATAATGGCATTTAGACAAAATATACTATATATTAGGAAGATCTCAAATACTCGTTTTTTGTACATACTGTGTTAATCAAAATTATTAGTTTTAAAAAATGTTGCTTTTTACAAGCTTTTATTTAACTTGTGGTGTTAGTATGTTAAGGAAAATTTCACTACTCCATCTCCCAGTAGATGACATACCAAGAATGTACAACTTTATTTTTTCTGTTTTTTTTGTTAAAAGACCACTAATAATGAGCATTAATAGAAATGCACCCCATTAGGAGAAAACTAAAAACTTATAATAATTTATACTTAATCATAAGTATAGATAAGTATTTATGTCAATATCAAGTTAGGTACTTATTTTATTCTTGTTTACCTATACAGGATAAATCTGGAGATATGATTTTATATCATATAAATTGTGTAATATGATAAATTAATAGAATTAATTTAATTTAAAGTTAATTTTCTTCTTTTTAGAGCATTTAAATAGAAGCTTGTTGTTTAAAAGATTTATTTAGTTAATAATTTTATTTTAAATGCTGATATCTCAAAAACTAATTGTAAAATTTAAAAAAATTGCAATAAGACTGTAAAAATAAAGTAACGAGCTTCTCAAGGATGTATTACTCAAGGTAGGTTCGTATCAAAAAAAGTTGTGCAGACTATTTCCTAAACAGTGACAATGCCCGATATGATCAGAGCTGCAAGCTTACAGAAAACTTGAGACTTTTTTTTATTTAAATTATTTTAATGACTTATGTTATTTGATTTTAAGTCATTTTTCGAAAGCTGACTTTAGACTTAAAATTTAAGTAATTTTCAAAATGATTTGTGATTTAAATCTTTTTTCCCAAATAGAAAAATAATTCAGTCATTAAAAAAGGCTTAAATCTTTTAAAAGATTTAAGTCTTTTTAGAAAAGACTTGAGTCATTAAAGATCTTTTTAGAATCAATACCACTAGCAAATCAAAAGTTTCTTTGCTGTTGTCTTTCAAGTGAATCAAGTGAATCCCCCACTTCGTTATGTAGCCCGAAAGATGAACGAAAGAAATAATTCTCGAATATATTGAAGACTTGACGGTAATTATTTTTATTTAAGTATACAAATACTATATCAAATAATAAAGCGTTAATAATAGTAATAATACATCTGTAGGTATTTTCAAAAGACACATTTAAAAGTCCTTATGCTGAGATTTTTTCAACGTTTCTTTCATATATATTGCACAATCGTACAAAAACCAGAATTTTTCGCAACATTTTTTGTAGAAATTGATGCAAGTCCACCATTTTTTGCGCTCTACATCGACTAATAACTGTTCGGTTCTTTCAATATGCGGTAAGGAATGTGGTTAAAGCCAACAAAAACATTTTATTTTTCTTCACTGTACACTAACAAAATCGATTTGCAAATCGAATAGGATTGTTTATTATATCGAGAGATAGTTTCACCTCGATATTCTCATAATGTCGATACTTCTAAATGATCGATACTAAGCAAATAATATTATTTTTAATTTAAATTATGTAAATTTTAATTATTATGATTTAGTCAATAAATTTATCTGCCTAAATATAATTGGGCATATGTCAAATGACTAATATAGAAATCGGCATATCTAGGAAATATCTACTCATTTAGTAAAATATGGATTTTTAAAATAATTTTGTTATTTGTTATGACACTTAGCAAATGACTAGGCAAATGACTATTTGCCTAAATTTACATTATGCCTACGACATATCGAACATAATGTTTTAACTTAACCTTTTATTATAACAAATATCTTCTTGAACTGAGATTGTCTTTTCTATGAGACTATTGATCAATAAGTAAATATATTTTTAAGTTCAAAATTATATCCCAGAGCGGTAATAATAAACCAGGAACTTATAGTCCAATAAAATCTATCAAACACTTTTAAAAATTACATAATAAAATGGTGACTAGATTTAGGGAAAGAAAATAGTTCCTTTTCACAGGTTAGTTACCTAAGAATGATATATCACATTAACCAATAGTTGCACTATTAGTTCTTCTTATGAATATTATATTCAAAAAGACAATTGAACTCGTTTTATAATTAAAAATATCAACAAAATTATTGCCTTCTATAATGTGGCGTTTATTGGGGCTAATATTGCTACCTATGGTTGATTTTATGTTTTTCTTAATGTCTGACCTCAGCATGATGATCAGACATTAGGAAACTGATTGTGGACTTGTAGTTTGTTAAAGATTGGAAACTCTGAATATAGAAAGGTTTGATCCAATTAGTCACTATTCCATGATTTCCAAAAATGCTTAATATATTATTTCATAATAGACTGTCATGTAAGCCTGTCCAGCAAAATAAGGAATAATTTCGGCAGACGATGTCTACAGAACTCAATGACGATGATGATGACAAACAATGACAAATAATTACACAAAAATACAATTTACTTTTGAATAAAATTGATTTGAGACAGTTTTACATGCTGCAACACTTCTGCAGCAAGAGATTGTTAGTCGCAAGACCATCTTGTGCAATTATTCCTGCAGGTTACTTTACTTGCTGCAACTCTATTGCAATCGTTGTTTCTGTCAAATTCAACAAACAAACAAAACTATCATTAATAACAATACTCTTTAAACGTCATGCGGGAGTAAATCCAATAGCTATAAAGTTTTATTGTTAACATAATTTTTTCCTTCAAATTAATACTGTTCATTTTTAGATAAACTAAAACGAGATCCCCATACAAACAAAAATGTAAGTAAACTTGTGACATTTATTTAGCTTGCAAATTTATTTATTTTATTTATTTGCAATTTATTATTTATTTATTTTATTACTTTGCAATAACTAAAATTACCGGATTGTTCCACCAGAGTTGCACTTGCAATTGCAGAAATATCGAGCAGAACAGATAAGTTGCAGAGATATTAATCAGCTGGTCCACAACTGCGCATGCTTTTGTAAAAGATTTGTTGCAAGTTGAACCGTCTTGCAGGAAGTCTTGCAGCATATAAAACGGCCTTAACAAAAACTCTTACTGTCATATGTTTCCTCCTTGTCAGGATATATTTGACATTTCCTTGTTATGACATTAATTAGGAATGAACGTTGGTTTAAATCGTAATTTAATAATAGTAAATCCCCTTAATTGTTTAGACTATTAACGACAAAATAATTCCTATATTCTGCCAACAATCATTATACAGAGTCTTTTGATATACTCATATCCATTGTTGAACTTGAAATACAAAATCTTCATAACTTGATTGTATATGATTTACGTATTGTCAATACTTTAAATCTAGGCCCACTTGGGTTTATATCAAATTAATATTTGAAAACATTATGTTTCAGTAAGCCAATTCGATGTAAGCTCAAGAGTCGTTTGCGTAACGTCCACTTAGACTTCTTATGTGACTTAATGTTTCTTATAACAAACATTATTAATTAAACAAGTAAAATTCGTAACGCAACGTGATAAATTCAAGGCGAAGTTCGTCGCAGGTATCGACGGTGGAAATATACTGTAAACAGTTTGATAATGCACCTACCGTTGACTACCACGAGAAGACGAATAAAAAAGACTATTTTGAAGACTTCGCGGATGGTTAATGGAGTTAAGGAGTTTGTAGTTGATCGCGCAGAGTCAAGAGATGTCGGCAAAACTGTAAGTAATTCAGCATACACTTTGTCTTTCAATTTCCCAAATTCGTATATTTTGTATTATTTGTTCAATAAATAGACCTTCTTTTATTATGGTTTTAATCTAAAAAAGATCACCTGGAACTTACGCGACCCTAGGCAATATTCCCAACGCGACAGTATATTCTGACAAATATGAGTCATATTGGAGAGAGCAGATATTTTTAAACTTAACATTTGAAATGATAAGTATCGATCATTTAATATATCGACATATTATATTATATGTAATCACCAACATGCAATCACATTGTTCACTTTGACGTTGTTTGACTCAACACATCGATTCTGCCAAGGCCGGCTGCGGTGCGTTGTACGGTCCCGCCACGGCTGCAGAGATTTTGTAGGGCGAGCTAAGGGCTGTGTCCGTGGGGGCGCCCTGAGCAGAGAGCCCTCGCTCGTGTAGCCTTTGCTCAAAGCCTCCGCTTGCAAGGGAGAGCATCAGTCTGTTCGCTGCTTGTCTTTCGGCTTCGCGTTCCTCGGCTGTTTGTCTTCTGAAATAGAATAAAGTATTAGGGTATAGTTTCATCTCGAGATGAACTAAAACACATATTTGTGTAAACTCTATAAATTATAAAAATGTAAGGCAATAGTTCATTGGAGTCGACTCTTTTGAGAATAGAAAATCATGTTTTATATGATTGCAATTAGAATCTGCAAAATCTTCTAAAATATATGTGAAAGCAATAATGCGTCCCTAAAGTAACTGGACAATGAGTCCAAAGATTCCCAACCTTTAGTTAATAATAATTACTAAAATGCAACTAAAAGAAAAATGTTGTATTTGGAAAAAGTGTTAGAATATATAGTTCTTACTGTGTGAAAACACGCCACTTCGTTATGACTTAAAGTACTCTTTACTGGATAGAGTGGATACTACTTAGCATATGATAAATTCAGTCAATATAGAAGCCATATATATCACTATTCTGAATTGAGTCTCCAACATAATATTCTAAGGTACTTTTGTACCTTAAAAATTAAATTTAACATCCGGTGTGTCGTGGAGGTAGTTCCTCAGTGTAATATTTACTAAAAGCTTATGGGATGATTAGACAACATATAAGTAAAAGTCATTCGCAGCAAAGGAACAGGTTTAAGTGACTACAGTGTATCACCTAACACCACATATTTTTGAAGTCAAACTTCTTTACGCGCGTTAGGATTAAAAAATTCAAGGTCGTGTGTCACGTGAATGGAGCGAGAGGAAAATTGATAGCGGCAGTGTTGCTACTACTACACCATTCGGGTAGATCTACCCCTTTGTAAAACAATTTAACCTCGTTATCTCGTCTACTCCGATGAAAAATAAGCTTGTGGCAACACTGGGTAACGATTTGTGCCATACGCGACTGAGAATATCACTATAATATAGGTACTTGATACTGTACCAACCTTGATGTGTACCAATAGTCTGGTTGTGTTTTGATTTGGTAAAGCTAGGAGTAGAGATTTTCATGCATATTTTTTTATCGATAGGGTGAATAACGGTCTAGGTAAAGAGAATCTAGCTCATTTGCCAGCTCATAATTAGAATGAATTTAGAGTTAGTAACTCGTATTTTCATTGGAGGACACTGTCATACTTTATTTCAGACCAATAATCAACGAGAATATTCATATAATTTAATAAAAATTACTGTAAATCAGGGTACAATTAATGAATTGTTCGTAATTGAACTGTAATTTCTGTATTATTAATCCGGTAAATGATGGAGATAAACAATTGTGATTGATTAAAATTTTATTTTAAGATGAATCTTTTGTTAACAACATTCTGAGAATTCCGAATAATGAATTGAATAATGACAAGACAAGTGACATCTATTTAAAAAGAGACACCGATTTAGAGTGACAATTTGGTTATGTAAAATTTAGGGGTGACAATTTTGATTATGCAAAAGAAATACATACTCTATGAGTTTACTAGTTGCCTAACGATTAACATTAATTAAAAAATAATCCCCAACATGAATAATGAATAAAATATTTAAACAAAAACAGGCCACACAAAACAAATTGTTGGTTAGTAGCAGTTAGTTTTTGTCAGAGATATATATGTAGTAGTGTTTTAGTTTAATGGTCACAGCTGCCAGAGCTATCCGGCCAGGTGACAGAGTTATCGTTGTTAATAAAAATTTAAAAATATTATAAAATTATTATAAAGCTAGAATGAGTATACGTGTTTTATATTAACTGTAATTATTTTGAAGTTTATAAAAAGCATTCATAAAAAATATATATTCTTTAAATCCTTCAATTTAATAGTTTTTAGTAACAAGTTTTACTTCAAATATGCGCACATAGTGCACAATCTGTGTTATATGGAACTATTCTTAATTATTCAGTTGGTCTATAACATACTTTATTACTACTCTTTATAGTACCTTATAAAAATAATAAATTACCCACCTTGCGTTTTATTACTACACTATAATTAGAATTCAAATACTAATTCTATGAAATAATTTTAGAGTGAAGGCGTAGTAGGAAAATCTAATAAAATATTTCCTCATATTACCATAAGCCTATTTTCATTATAATATTTATATTAATTGCTCTTAAGCTATTATAGTAATAATATCTAATAAAACTAATAATACGGTAAAATAATACTGCAATATCGATATAAAACTATCCGCCATATCAATTTAAACGTGTATAAGCTATTAGATAAAGCTGCAATAAGATTAACGGAAATTTGTAATGGCGGTGATTCAAAACGCATTATCTCTAATTACTTTCACGTTATTGGATAATAATATAAAATCCAGCAAGATAAGAGCGACGTTAACTTATTAGAGTGCTATAATATTAGTAGTAAAATGTAATATCGAAATACAATTCTCCATTTAGGTCTAACAGATCGTAATACCTAATTTTTATTCGACAAATGGCGTCATTATTGTTATGTTTTATGAAGATTAGTGGATATAAAATAAGTTATTGGTGTAAATGGATGTGAAATAAATTTAAACGTAGCGACGGTTTTATTGTAGAGGTATATTTTATTTCGGTTATAATTTTCGCTGTGTCTAGCCTCCCGGTGACGGTATTCGAATTAATCGCGGAAAAAATAGTGACGTAAGCATATAATGTACTCCCCCTACTGTGGAGCTTGGTAGTGGATAATTACTAGAAAAATTAATTCTAGTGGGAATACACTGCATAGGGCATGCAGACGACATAGTCATGATTGCACGGGGGAAACATGAAGGCACCTTGTGTGATATTATCCAAAGAGGACTCCGCATCGCTCGACTGTCGAGCTGAGCATCAACTCAGATAAAACCGCGGTAGTGCCATTCAGTAAAACCCATGATTACCTATGGAGCAGTTGCGTGGTACACAAAACTAGAGCAACGTACAACAGGGCAAAACCTCTGCAAAGTACAGAGATATACATATATCTGCATCACAGGTGCCATGAGGAGGTCATTCTAGACCTAACACCACTACGCATTGCCGTCGGTAGTTATGCCAATGCGACAATGATTAGAATGTTCATTGACGGAAACAGTATTGGGAGAATTTTTAGGTTAGGGGCTTGGAACACCCTCAAAAAGAAAATTCCACTTCTCCAACTCCCAGAAGATGACATACCAAAAATTTACAACAAAAATCAAAGGTTTTCCTTGATTTGAGTAAAAAGAATCTTCGGATTTTCACGGAGTATCTAACACGACACTGTCTCCTCAACGAACACCTCGGTAGGCGAAAGTGAGAAACAACGGCGAATGCAGATTCTGTTGGAAAAATGAGAAAACACCAGAACACCTTATCACTGAGTGTGCCGAGACGACGACCGTTCGTGCTATGAAATTTGGTACGGCTGATGTCGAGGATGGAGAGCTGGCCTCTGTGGAGCCGTCTCAGATACTGGCCTTTGTTAAAGCCCTTAGATTATATGATGAATTTTAACTCGTTATAACTCAGGAAAGGGGAACACACAATAGATCTGTAAGGTCGCGGTGATGAAATCCCCTCCTAAATATTCTACATATGATGTAAGAATCTACCACTATTCAAAAAAATCCCGGTAGAGATTAGGCGATACGAAACTTTCCATAACCTAAAATCTGTTTATTTGATCATATTATTTTGTAATCAAAATAATAATGAAGGTCAAAACAGTCAGAACACATTTTCTTTATAATGAAGTTAAAAAGAACATTGAAGCTTTTATACAGAGTGGTCCGAACTGCATTCTAGAAACTTCGGCAGTATTCCGCGGATGAAATAAAATTAAAAGTTTTTTTTTTTTTTTTTTTTTTCTTTTTGTTTTGGAGATACAGTGTGTATAAGTTTCATTTTATTTCGATTTTTTTTGAATAATTTATGGAAGTAGCATAAATATTTGGATGAAAATTGAAGATCTGGGAGTTTTTGACGTGATAAATTTGATTTTGATGTAAAATATGACTCCTACTTGTAGAGGGGGCATAACTAAATATTTTTACTGGTTTTGAAAGTAATAAATTTTCGTCCGTACCTCCTAGAAAATTACTGAGTAAAAATATACATTTGCGACATTATTTTGCGTAAAAAGTCTCTTGGTAAAAATCGCTATAGGTAAATGGTTCCCGAGATATTTGGGTCAAAATTATCAATACCTGTCATCATTGACATAAAATTAAACATGTTGACTAAATAGTTATTTAACTGAAATCATAAATTTGAAAGTTTTGGTGTAAAGAGTTCAACAGAAACTGTATTATCATCATTTTTTTTTTTTTTTTTAAAATTAGAAAATAAAATTTCCCAATTTTTTTATTTCAGTTGAAATAACGCTATCTACTCAACGTGTTTATTTTCAAATCAATAATGACTATGAATGTATTATTACTTCCATTCTAAATATTTTGAGAAGAGTTGCTCGTAACGATTTTACCACAGACTATTTTAAGTTAAAAATCACGGAAATTGTATTTTTCCTCAACTCAGTTAATACAGGTACGGACAAAAGAGATAGCCCTCTTCAAGTTAAAACACATGTGGGTGGCGTCCCCTACAAGTAGTAGTCATGTTGACATCAAATCAAATTTCCCATGTAAAAACTCACAGTGCTAATTCTCAAATAATGATAGTCCTTTCAGAAATTGTTGGAAAAATCCAAGAATGAAATGGAAATTTCTACACCCTGTATCTCGAAACCAATACACATTTTGGGACATACATTCATACGAACTTTTCTTATTTTTATCTTCAGGATATGCTGCCAGAGAGTTTCGGAATACAGTCCCGGACCACCCTGTATTTTTTTCTTGTTTATAAAATGTTCACAATAATTTAATAAATGGTTATTCATCTATTTAGAAGTTGTACTACTATTGTTTACCTTTCAAAATAAACATTTACGTTAGAAATCCCATTCCGCCCCGGTGTGCCCTAAATAATTAAAAGGAAATATTTAGTTTATGTGGCCTTTACATTATCTTGTTAACATATTAATTTTTCAAAAAATCCTCTATGAGTATTTCGCCACCTGTAAGAAA